ATTCATAACGTGTTATTCGGCGTTTAATATTCGTGAATCAACTGGGGCAAGGGCAGATTCATCAATCTAGTCGGCTTGAGTGCCCTAGCCGTTCCACGAATCAATTCATTAATACGAGATTCATAACGTGTTATTCAGCGTTTAATGTTCGTGAACCAGCTGGGGCAAGGGCAGATTCATCAATCTAGTCGGCTTGAGTGCCCCAGTTGTTCCACGAATCGATTCATCAATACGAGATTCATAACGTGTTATTCGGCGTTTAATGTTTGTGAACCAGCTGGGGCAAGGGCAGATTCATCAATCTAGTCGGCTTGAGTGCCCTAGCCGTTCCATGAATCGATTCATCAATACAAGATTCATACGTTTAATGTTCTTAAGTACAAGATTCATAATGTGTTATTCGGCATTTAATATTCATGAATCAGCTGGGGCAAGGGCAGATTCATCAATCTATTCGGCTCAAGTGCCCCAGCCGTTCCACGAATTGAGTCATCAGTACAAAATTCATAAGTTCGTGTTATTCGGCACCTCATGAATTCATTTTGTTGATTAAATCAAATCCATAAATTTAATCGGCTTCTAAGTTTGCCGTCTCACGTAATCATGACATTTTGTTCTAATGCTGATTCTCCTAATTACCTACTCATACAACAAACAATACAAGCAGTAACTTGAGTACAATATTAAATTTTCATTCATAAATTGGGCGCTAGCAGCGGACATTTTACATATGAAAATCCAAAAATGATGAAAATCTACTAGACAAAAACATACATTGAAATTGAAAATATTTAATAAAACTAGTGTCTCCCAAATCAATCCTCGGGATCAGACTCAAGTGGCTCAATGTCCACTTGCTCGTATGGAATTGGCATGGCCAATGTAACTCCAGCGGCAGCAAGGGCTTTGAGCCACCCATGTTTGAATCGCCGATTCTCGAATTTGGGAACTTCTTCTACGTAGTCATTAAGTACGGCACTCTTCCCAGCCTCGAGCGCCGTAGAAGCCTCAGAGTCGGCTTTTTCCTTGGCCTTCCTCAACTCTTCCAACTCGGCCTCCACGTTAGCAAGTGCCTTCTTGGCTAACTTGAGCGATTTCTCGCTCGCGTTCGCCCTCTCCTCGGCATCGGATTTGAGCCGGTCAGCAGTCTGAGCCCTCTCCTTCTCAGCTTCGGTTCAAGCACTTTACATCGCGGCTCTCATCACCTTGAACTCGGTCCTGCTTCTCTCACCTTCAGCTTCCAACTTCAGGCGGCCAATTCTTTCAATGGCTTCGTGCTGGCGGCGGCCTAGTTCGGTTATCCTTCCAACTGTCTGCAAAACAAGGAGTCAGGATCATCACAAACCAAGAAATATCGTATACAAACCAAACCAAACAAGGAGTAAAAAAGATCAAGTCACAAACCAGAAGGGCTAACTGGGCAGCTAAGGCTGTAGCTACCAAATCTGGCTCTGCTCGAAAGGTGGCCTTGTCAGCCGGCAACGAAGTTAAGGCGGCCAAGCTCAACGCTACAGCTGGATCCTTCAAGGAAGACGCATTAGAGGAGATCGGCGTGTTTTTGATCTTCGGTTGAATAACGAAAGGAACAACCATATCCGATTCCTCCAGACGAGACCGTTTGTTAGCAGGGTTCTCCTCTGAGCCAGCCTCTCCCTCGGTGGTACGTTTTTCACCCCGCTCTTCTTGAATCAGCATTTCTTCTGGGATCTGCTGTTTGGCCACCTTATCCGACTCGACCGAAACAACTTGAGTCGTCTCTTTTACCATAACGGGTTGTGAAGATTCAATTGGGGCAGGCCCAGAATGGCTGGCCTCGGCTTTTCGTTGCGCGGCCATGCGTTCAGCATTTCTCTTTCGTGCCATCTGAGTTAGATTTTCCGCAGCCATGCCTTCAGAAAAATCACGGGTAGATCTCCCAAATCTGTAAAAATATCTTCGAAGGAAAACTCTACCCAACTCGAAATGAACGGTGAGTCAGGCTGGTTAAGACCGGTTGCCTCAAATGTCGAGTTTAGAGCCTCGTCGACCTCTTCAGCCTTCACAGCAAACTCTCTCGTTGGTTCGGCAACTACCTTGACCACCGTCTCTGCGTCTTGCTCCGAATCAGAAGTTTCGAAACCAATTTGTCTGAGGGTCTTGAAGCTGGGGAAGATAAGAGCCGTAAGGTGGTGTTCGCCGGATGGGATTGGGATGTCGTCCACAGCCGAGAACGTAGTATAAGTAGGCTCGTACCGCAGAAGTATATGGGCGGCTTTCCCTTGCTTTTGTACGTTTGGACGGCCAAAATACTTGAGTGTAGTCTTAATCTCCTCAAGGACTGCGTCGTCAGCCAAAGTCTGAATCTTCTTCAACTTATTGCCTGCAAAAACGAAGGATTAGAGTTGAAGAGAAAGCCGAGTAAAAGAAAGATCAACAAACATAAGGAGTTACTCGGCCACCTGGTACACTCCTCTTTCTGGGAACAAGGTCTAGGCGATCTTCGCCCTCGCCGAATTCCCAATTGCCGCGGACATTGACCATGACATCATCAACTCGTTTGCTAAAACTGGCAAGCATGGTTACCAAGTGATGGTCAGTATCCTTGGCCCTGAGAAAGTAGCGCCCGAGCCGACCGGAGGATTTGGCTAGAGCGTAGCAGTGCTGAATCGCCGGAATGTCGAGATTGATCCTAAGGCCCTGCTTTAGTTCTACGATTCCCATTATGATTCGAAAGAAATTTACATTGGGTTGAGAAGGAATCAGACCCCAATGGCAGAGGACGGCCCTAAGAAATGGGTGCAAGAGAAAGCGAACCCCACCCTCCGCAATGGACAGGAGAGGAAAGGCGACGGTATTTTGGTCCTCCCTCTCCATATCAAGGGTATTGTCCGTCACTAGAGATATATGGACATCATCAGGGATAGAGAAATGTCTCTGGAACCCAAAGATACGACCCTCAGAAAGGAGGTCTTTCAAATGCTTAGCCATTCTAGTAAGGATTTGGGTATTCTAAATCAAAAATGAACACAGAAAATAGGATTACAAAGAGGAGAAGAAAACTTACGAGAGGTAAAGGAGACACGGAGAGACGGGAAGAAGTTGCAGAAGATGCGAGGTAGAGGAGGAATTCTGGCTGGCAATCCAGGAGGCCCTAATATTCAAAAAGTATGCATTCGAAGAGACTGGAGTTTCAAATCGAAATAAACGTAAAAGATGCACGAATGAGGCGAGAACGTATAATGATGACCGATGCCTGTGCTCTGACATACACATTGGGATAGATGAAGCCACCTAATTTATGTTTCTCTTGACTTTTCAAATTTGAAACCAAACACACCAATTAACTGTCGTCAATGGGGAGTTTGGGAGGTAATTGTGGGAGCTGAATAAAGGGCAGAGTCAGAAGTGTACGCTTCGAAGGATGGACATTTGTTCGGCTTTAACCTGCACGATTAGGAGGCCGATTACAATTAACAGTCCGAGTAACTATGGGGCCGAATAAATACGCAGTTTGACAGCGGAAAGTAGACCAGGCCCCGAGGCCCTGGAAATGAGTATAAATAGAGGAACAACAGTCAAAGAAAGGTATGTGAGAATTATTGTGCTCAACTTAGAATACAAGTAACCCTGAGTGCTGAAACTAACTTGCCCGTCGGAGTGCTAATTCCGGCACCCTCGACCGAAGTGTTTATTCCTTTTCAAGTGACTTTTAGAGGATCACTAGCGTCCCCCAGGATCAGAAGTGTATTTCCAAACCATTTCTCCAAATATATATATTTAAAGAGTTCACCTCCCTTCCATTTATTTCTATTTTGTCCTTACTCGGTTAACTGAAAAGTGCAATATTTTAATTGAAATGAGAGTCTCGAAACATCGTGAAACATTTGGAAAAATATTTTGAAAAGAGAGTTTTAAGGTCTAAAATAGTTTGGCCAAAAATGTGTGAAAGTTGGGATTAAAACTCAAATTCCATTTTTCTTGTTGAGGACTGTTGGGGAACACATTCTAATTGTCATCATCGGGTAATCAACAGAAAGTGCCCAAGTCTTAGGGCTGGTCAAAATGGGGTGTGTACAGGATGCTCTTGTAATTATTTCAGAGCGTTACAATGATGCGGTAATGGCCATGGTGATGGTTGTGTATTTGTGGAGGTGAGAGTGGTGGTGGTGGTATTGTGACATTGGTAAAATTTTAATTTGAAAAATATTTTTCACCTTCTAAAAGTAATTTTTTTTTGGGTCTAAACAAACGTGTTTTTTTTATTGATCATAAAAAATATTTTTTGTTAATTTTTATTTTTATTATATCAAATACTAAAAAATAAAAAATAAAAAATATTTTCGAAAAATATTTTCTGTTTAAACAAAGGAAGTGTCACTATCCAAATTGCTATGAGACGTTGATTGAAACAACTTTTTGATGTTTGCACATGTGGACTGCATGGAGATTTGATCCCCGAATGAATCGATCCAATAAACAAAATATCAAATTATCAAAATATCTATATAATAAAACAGGGGGAGTTTTTAAATTAGGGACGAGATATTTGTTTATGTGTCAAAATGTGGATCATTAAATTGATTCAATCCAAGGGCTGAAAATGTCTTACTTACTCTCATTTGTCCAATTTAGACATTTCAATGGCTGAGATCAGTTTTACTAAATTTAAATGGTCTAGATTAACTTTTGGTTCCCACCCTCACAAACCCTTTGGGTGTGTTTGGTTTGTGTTTTGAGATAAATTTTCAAAAAAAAAAAAATTCGGAAGAGAGTTTAAAATTTTTTTGGGTCTATTTGGTTGTATATTTTGAAAATAATTTTGGAGTTTGGGACGATTTGATATCTTGTTATAGTTGAGTATATGTGTGTAAGAGAAAAAAGTGATTAAGAATGAAAGAGGAGAGAGAAAAAGTGATTGATTGATGTGTAGAAGAAAGAAAACAAAATTTCAACCAAACAAAATTTTAAAAATAATTTTTAAAAAATTATATCTTGAGATACAAATCAAACAAGCCCCTTCTCTTCTATCTCTTTTTCTTTCTTTCATATCTCAGACTTCTCCTCACACCTCACATCTCTCACAGACATATTCTCTCTCTTTCTCTCTAATTTTGATTTCAAAATTTGAAACACCATTCTCTCTCACACCGCTTCCTCTTCCCACCACACATCTTCTTTCCACCAAACTTTCTCTCTCTAAGTGATCTCCGGTGGTGATTTCTACCATTTTGCTCCAATGGAATATAGCCCCGCTGAGAGAGGGTGATTTCTACCATCTACATCAATGTTTGCCTCCTCTCTCTCTACACAACTCCAAGGTAGAAGGCTAAATCCTCACCTTCCCCCCCTTTTGTTATTGTTCAATGTTTACCTCCTCTCTCTTTACACATCTCCTTGCTCTTTTTTTTTTCCTTCCTTTTTTTGAGGGAAGTGGGTGTGTGAATCTAGGGTTTTTATTTGGGTTTTGGATTTTGATATGATAATCAATCTTTGCCTCATCTCTCTCACTTTTTCCCCCTCTTTTATTTGGGTTTGTTTTTCTTTTTTCTTTTTCTTTTTTTGTTATCAACACATAAACTAATTTTTTTTTATTAGATGTAGTTTCTACAAAAATATTTCAGTCCTGTTTGGTTGCTGAGAAAGTGACAAAAAAAGTAAAGAAAGTTAAATTTTGGTTATTGTCATTTTTGGGTTTTGCTTAATCTCATTAAAAAAGGGAAAAAGAGACTGAAATATTGTTATTGTCATTATTGTCAAAGGTATGAAAATTACGTATGGATTTTTTCTAATTTGATTTCTTCTTGCTTGAAGATTAACAATTTTTTGTGTTTCTAATATAATCACTATTTGTAAGAATATTTTTTTATGTGATTCATGATTTTTTGAATTTTTTCTAAATCTATTTCTGAAATTTGATTTCTTCTTGCTAAAGGTCAACAATTTCCGAGCTTTCTAATACAATCACTATTTGTAAGAATATTTTTTATGTGATTCATTATTTTTTTTCCAATGTGTTTTTTTTTTTTCATTTCAATACTCATGAAATTTGTTTGTATATTCTAGGTTCGTGTAATTTTAAGAACATAATAACAAGAAGAGGACTTATATGGCTGAAGTGATTCACAATCATTTTAGTAACTCCTGTACTGTTGTTTATTTCCTAACTACACTATTTGTTATTTCGGTCAATAATTCCAAAGTCTACTTCACAATATTTCTTGCACATTTAAATGTCAACTTCTTAGTAATTAGCAATACATTTTATTGCTTTGCATCTTCACATTCAAAATCTGTTGTACATGGTTTTCTAGAATGGAATCCCCTCTAGATGATCTTTTGCGTTATTCTGTAGGAAATAATTGAAGTAATTCTGATTATGCTTTTATGAGATCATCCAAATAATTGAAGGTATTCCTTGACATCTACTTTTCTTATTATGCTTAATCAATCATTATTTATGTTGATTGTTGATTTTGATGTTTTTAATTTTTTATTAGTCGATGCACTTTTAAATTTCTGTAGCACATTAGCTAGTTTGCTTTGGTATTATTGAATTTATATCTTTATGGATTTGGTAAGTTGTTGGTGAGGCAGAGAGGGTGTGTGGTAGGGGAGGGAAAGACAAAGAAGGTGGCAATGCGATGGGGGAATAAATTTGAAAAAAAAAATATTCAGTTTTAGAGAAAATTCTATATAATAAGGAAGGGTAGTATTTGATCCAATGGCTAGGATTGCTTCTCCCTTTCATCCACGGTTCATTTCCAAGATTGATTTTGAAAATGTATTTACCCTATGTGGCAATTTGGATGGTCTAGATTAATTTAACTCCTCCTCAGCTTTGCCCTTTCTCCTAGCCATCGCCTCATCAAAGTCTAATCTTTGTTGTCTAGGTTTTCCAATTTTTGCTTTCACTATTTTTGTGCCTCTTTCATAACATAATGAGCTTTTCCTTTTTTTGGTTTTTTGGTTTTCCTGTTATGCCAACTAATAGATCTCTAGAAACATTTCTATCTTCAACTCAAGATGTGATGAGATCCTTAGGTGCCTTTGCTTTCTAATTTGATTTTGATTTGGTGTTTGTTTACAATTCTAGTTTGGGTTTGTTTTTAAACATCTGTATTCCTACCATTATTGTTTAGATCATATGAGAGCTCATTTATTCAGATTTGTATTTGTCTGCTTGCTTTTCTTGTCTTTTATTTATTTTTTTTATTCTTTGTTTTTATTACAATGATTCATGATTCCTATATATAGAAGAGGGTGAGTGTGAGTAGGTGAGGAGTAGGTGGAGAGTAGGTGAGTGTGTAGTAAGTGGTAGTGGTAGGTGTGTAGTAGGTGAATTTTAACAGTATCTCAGAACTGAAGAAACAGAATCTGTACTAGAATCTCTTTTCTAAGTTGTTTTAGTCAATGTTCTGCCTTCTTTGTTGTTCCTATAGCACACTTTGGTTGAATTGTCATCATCTTGTTTTTTTGAGCTTCAGGGGTGAGTGCCCAGCTGCAACTTGTTGATGTGTGACTAAACAATTCCAGATATATATATCTCTTGACATTTATCATTACATTCTTCTCAAAAATGTTCTTGTTCCTTTTTGTTGCCATAGGAACATCTGAAGTATTTCCATTTTGTATTGAACTGTAAAGAAACAAGGATTAAAATCAAAATTCAAAGCATTTCTCAAAACAAAGTTGTGTCCATCCAAGCATGCTGTAAACTGGTTGAAATATAACAGTTTTGAAAATTTTTGTTTGTCTTATCATGAAAGATGGAGGACATTAAAAGGCTATATTCATTTATCCAAATAATAAAAAGGGAGTAGCCTGGTTGGGAAATTGAAAGCTAACAATGCAACAAAATATTTTAATCAGTATATCTTCACTTATTAATATACTTCACTTCTCTGATATGAGAGGGAGGTGGGGACTTTACTGCTCTTTATTTGAATTTATAAATATTTCATTGTTTCCATTACTTATATGAAATGTTGACATATCTGAGCCAAATGAAAACTGCATTCCTACACAAAGTTTTGATCTTTGGTTGCTGATCGTTCTTAGGTACCCACAGTGCTTGATAAGCAGGGAGCACAACTCCTTGCAGTTGCTGTACTTGTGATTTGAGAACTTGGATATCAGATCGCATTGCCTCTTTAAATGGTATTCTTTTCTTTTTTATTTTCCTAAATTAATTAAACTTTATGATATTCTTGGAAATTGAGAAGATTTTGTGATTTAAATGCATTGGTTTTTTCAGGGACGACTGTAAAGTATGTTTTAGAGATAAGGGGGCCTTCACTCGGTTTGTCACGCCCTCAAAATAAACCCATTATATATATCATTGACATGCAATATTAAAAGAAAACAATTCATTATCTCATTCATCAGAGTATTACTAAATAAAAACATTACATGTAACATCAAATTAAATGCCCTACGGGCTTACATCTTTCCAAGCCAACACTTGGACACAAAACATGAGTACTAACTCAACTACAAGTTAAGCCCTTGGCTTGAGTGTTTACATGTAATAACAAATAAAATAAATGACAACTAAACTAAATAGAGTCTTCAACTCCAATTCCTTCCAAGCTAAGTCCTTGGAGGTAGCTTATCACCTAAACCTGAAATTGATGTTCCCGTATAGGGTGAGCCACAGCCCAGTAGAAATATACTAAACCAAACATAAGCATTGAATAAAGCAATAGCATTCAATAGATGGTTAACCAAGATAATCAATTATATCATTATACAGCCTCGTCATACTAATGTCCATGACACGTTTCACTTTCCATTATTATCACTATGTGACACTAATGTCTATGACACGTTTCACTTTTCATTATTATCAATATAGCTCAGAACCTGGCCAAACTTACAACAGTGAACTATATATATTATATTCACATTACTTCCAATTTCAACCAAACAAATGAGACTCAGGCTCATATCAAAACACTTCATACTTCCCGTTTGATACAAATTTTAGTGCTGTATCAATGACATGTAAAAACACTTCAATATAATAAGCACACATAATAGTGATGCTAATGGAGTTCATCTCCTATCTCCTCCCAAACAAAATCCGGATTAGAGGTCCATCCCCTATCTTCCCCTAAACCGTGGAGTGCATCCCCTATCTCCTCCCACACAATATGCAAATGCAATGCTCAATCATTACACGTATTTTCTGTATTAATTCAATAGTCAAAATTAATGACTTAACCAATGTGATTAGTTTTAGTTATCCCTAATCCACATGCAATATCTACAACAATCACGGCTATCCTCCACCGATAGCCCAAAACAGTTATTTCTAGACAGGAAATAAATGTATCAACTAACATAATTCCAACATTTTTATAGGTGAGTGATTAAACTACCAACTACACCACTTAATCAATAAATTCATTAATTCCATGAATTCAACTAAATTCCCCAAAAATTCATTAATTCCATGAATTAATGAATTTAATCAATAAATTCATTAATTCCATGAATTAATGAATTTAATCAATAAATTCATTAATTCCATGAATTAATGAATTTAATCAATAAATTCATTAATTCCATGAATTAATGAATTTAATCAGGGTAGGAAATCCCTACCTTGAAGCGAAGAACTCGAATGGAGAAGATGACGAAAACCAAAGTGCTCCAAACCCAAGATTGTTCAGATTAAACGGAAGCCCTCAACCCACTCTATCTTTTTAAGAAAGGACTTAGGGTAGAGATACACTCCAAGTAGATCAAACCTAAGAGAGAAGGTGTGTAGGGAGAGGGAGAAGACGGTTCTATGGTTTTAAAATAAAAATGGAGATGAAAAATGACCCAGAAAGTCGGGTCTCGGATTTTTATACCAGTCGCCCCGCTCGAGCGTGGAAACCCCCGCTTGAGCGCCACTCACAGACTCCCGCTTGAGCGGCGAATGCACACTCCCAAAAGTTTTTGCAGACAGGTCCCCGCTCGAGCGCCCAACTCCCCGCTCGAGCGTAACTCACGACTTCCCGCTCGAGCGTCCAATCCCCTGCTCGAGCGGCCAACACTACACAGGACATACTGGATGGGTGTATTCCCCGCTCGAGCGTCCAAACCCCCGCTCGAGCGGCCAACACTACACAGGACATACTGGATGGGTGTATAACCAACCTGCTCCAAATCTTCCCAACACAACCCAAGACTCAAAATAAGGATTAAAGGGTGCAAACAACATACTCTCAACAACCAGCTCTACGGAACCTAAGTCTGTATATAACAAGTAAAGAAAAGGGAAACCGGGATCGCTATAAATAAGATGGCTTATAAGCCACTTCCCAAAAGAGCCCTTGGGTTACGGGTTTGGTTGATCCAGATGTTTTGGCTTTTGTAGATTTTGTGAATGATTTGATTTCTTAGCTTTGTTATTCCTTTGGAGGCTAATTTTTTTTTTTATTCTTTACATCTTCTTGATGCTTTTTAATAAAGTCTGTTTATTTATGAAAAAAATAAAAATTATGCTAAAAGCTCCTCATGTTCAAATTTTAAGTGCAACATTGTGGTCTTTTCTTAATTCCGACACTGATACATACTTAGGAATGTAGTAATAGGTGTAATATCAATTTTGCCATGGACTATTGGATTTGTCATGTTCATCAAAAACAAAGAATTTAAAGTGTTGACATCGCAGTTTTTTTTAAGTCCTAGGATAGTTCTTGAATAAAATTCTTATAATATGGTATGGTTCTTGAAGCATTTGTATTTATTTAACAATTAAAATTTTAGTATGTTTCAAGACTACAAAGCACTTAATGCTTCATAATATTAGTATTGTTGTTAAACTTTTATTTGATGTTACCGGTAGGTTGTGTTGTGTCAAGTTTCTATTGTTATGCTTCTAATTATGTTGAACGCTCCTCATGTTTGAATAATTGAATGGAACATTGTGGTCTTTTCTTAATTCCGACATTGATACATACTTAGGAATGTAATAGGTGTAATATTTGTTTTGCCATGGACTACTAAATTTATTATGTTCATCAAAAACAAAGAATTTAAATTTAGTGAGGTGTCAAATTTGTTCCTGCATGTAGGATTTTTTTTTTTTTGGTTTGCATATTTAAGATTTTTCGTCCAATGAATAGCTGGATAAGTGAATATTAACCCAAGGGTGGATTTGATGGCCATGGATCTCATGGATTTTTTTTATTAGTTTAAATACATTCGTAATTTCTAAGTTTATTTCTTTTAATGGGATTAAATTTTGGTTACTATCATTTTTGGGTTATGATTGTATTTTTATCAAAATTAATTTTTTTTATTGGGTTTTGTACTCAAGAACAAGGGTTTCCTTTGGCTAATCGTTGGTTACTGTATTCAATTGCTGAGAAAGTGGGGGAAAAGAAAAGAAAGTGAAGTGTTGATGTTCTTAATTGTTATTTTTCTTAATTGACTTGGGCTATTTGTTCAAGCACCATTAATCTATCTCTTTATATTTTATCTACTCTATATTTAAGCACCATTATGTTTTCTGCTTCATATTATGTAGTGACTTCGATGGCGACAATGGAGCAGACTAAGGTTGTGGGTACTTGTCTTGGCCTTGCTGGCTTTGTTTCGGTGTCTTGGACCTACTGGCTCTGTTCAAGGATTTCCCAAACAGGTATTTTAATTACTTAGTTATGTTGGAGATGTTGAAACCATGGGAAAAGCTGCTGCAAACTTTAAGTAATTAGTTTTGTTGATTAATTAGTTATTTTTGTTGCTAAAATTGTGATATATTTGAACTATACCTTTTGGTACCTATCAATAGCTGAAGTTTTTATCTGATGTTTTCTATTTTTATTATTATTATTATTATTATTATTATTATTATTATTATTATTATTATTATTATTATTATTATTATTATTATTATTATTATTATTATTATTATTATTATTATTATTATTATTATTATTATTATTATTATTATTATTATTATTATTATTATTATTATTATTATTATTATTATTATTATTATTATTATTATTATTATTATTATTATTATTATTATTATTATTATTATTATTATTATTATTATTATTATTATTATTATTATTATTATTATTATTATTATTATTATTATTATTATTATTATTATTATTATTATTATTATTATTATTATTATTATTATTATTATTATTATTATTATTATTATTATTATTATTATTATTATTATTATTATTATTATTATTATTATTATTATTATTATTATTATTATTATTATTATTATTATTATTATTATTATTATTATTATTATTATTATTATTATTATTATTATTATTATTATTATTATTA